CTAAATATTTGAAAATTTGCTGAAATGAACATGGCACTCTTTCATGTCGTATAATTTGAAATTTAAAAGCTTACTTAAAGACTAATATTTAATACAATGTTCTAAGAAAGAAAGCAATGGAAGCCTGTCAATGCTCTTATCAGGCTGAATGACTGAAGAATCTTGGAAAGTAATAATTCTGACTTAAAAATACTGTAGCCCAACAGATTCAAAAGAGGCAATATCTTTTAAAACTACCTGACATTTGTGCTGACAGAATCAGCTAAATGAATAAATAGTAACATAGTTAAACACATGCCTTAAATTATTGCTGAGATGTTATTTTGAACTTTATACAGCAAGAATCTGTAAAACATTATGATCTCTCTGTAGATGAAATAAAACTTTCTTCATTTAGGACAAAATCTGTGATTCTGTTATATGTAAAGAAAACAATTTGGCTGTCTCAAAATAAAAAAAGGGGGTGTCTCTGTAGCTCAGTGTTACAGTGCCTCTGGGTTCCATCCCCAGCCCCACAAAACAAACATACAACAAAAATAATAGAAAGTACTAATGATAGAACTCCTTTTCATCAGCTCAAATCTATTATGTGAGAGATTCATTACTGAGTCATGTTTCTTCTTTTTTTAAAGAAAATTACAGATGGAGAGGAAATAAAATACACAGGTCCCTTTTTTCAGTACATGCTTTTGATTTCAATCTATCAGAACAGCTCCTGGTGTGAAAAATGTTGACTAAAGTATATTCACTTAGAAAGGTTAACTGTTTTTTTTTTTTTTTTGATCCCTGACTGAATTTGGGACCATGTGCTTGCAAGGCAGGTGGCAACACCATGAGCTAAATCCCCAGACCAGAAAGGCTAACTTTTAAATGGATTTTAAGAATATGGCAAATCTCTAGTTGTTTTTCAAAGAATTGTCAAACAAAGAAATATGGACTAAGACAGTAGAAGAAAAGTTCCACTTTTGTTCTCTTGCTACACCACTACCAACTGTCACTCCACAACGACAATTTATGAGTGCCCTTGACTGAAAACAGGTGCAGCAATTTATCAGACCTCCCTTAAACAAAAGACAATTGCCATGGGCATTTTCACCAGAAATTTGTTGCACTCAAAATTTTCATAGTTCCATTTAATTGTAAGCTGCTGAAAACAACAGTTCCTTTATCCCTTGACCTTATTATTTTTTTTCAGGCACCCTACTTCCTTGAACTATCATTTACTTTAGTGACCACACCTTTGAACAACAATTTTTCAAAGCAACACAGTAGTCCTCACAGAATGAGAATTTTTTTCTGATAGCATATTGAAATCATAAGAAAGTTGGGGTACAATCTTTGAAACCAAAGACAAAGGGGAAAACATGTTAAAAAAGGTAAGCCTCAGTTGAATAATTATTGAGAGCAGAAGCCTTTTCAGAAGTGCACGTTTTCCCTTAGGCTCCAGTCTAGAATTAGATTCAGTGACAGGTTTGAAATTCAAAAGTACAATAACCTTTGTAATACATACATTATACTAGTGGCCACCATACACAATAGTCTTTTAAAATGATATGTAGTTAGGCACATAGGTTAGCTACCGTCCAGGCTTTGTATGTTTATCTTCAAAGTGGACTCTCCCTGCACATGCAAATAATATTTATCCAGAAAACTTACAGTGTTTCCTATAAAATAAACAATAAGTATCTCTTAAGTGAGTGATTGGAATTAAAAATATTTTATTTTGATTCATTTTTGTTTCTCAAAAACAAAAGTTTTTGTGTATTTGTGGAAAATATCTTGAACTTTATAAAAACCTAAATTAGTAGGAGAAAAAAATGTTAGTTCAATGCGTAATTCCTATAAATGCTGTTCATGTAAAGCAGTATTTCATTTTAAGTAATGCTGTAGGTTAATATTTAAGTTCTAAAATTGAATTCTATGATGTTTTGCTTTCTTTTAAGTAGCTTCTAGAAGTCCATTTACTTATAAGACAATATTCACTTCTAAAATTCATCTGTGTCCTTGTTTATATGGCTAAGATAGTAATTTTATTTTTACCATTAATTCAAACATTTACTACTAACTAGTTTCTACATTTAATTTTCTCTGATGAATACCCTATGTGTCAGTTAAAATAATAACAGAAAATTAAAATATATCTGATCAACTATAGACAAGAAACAAAGCAACATAATGTATTTAGAGAAATTTCAAATGTGTTTTTATCTATAAACCCTATTTTAGTGCACAAGAGTGGAATAGGGGGAAATATTTTCTAAATTAACAGAAATGGAAAATACTAAAATGCTGCACAAATCATTTGGTTAACATATAAATCTACTACTCAAGCTAAAATTAATATTCAGGAAGCAAAACAGATTGGTCTCTGTTTCAGTTTCTCAAAGGGAATATTTTTATTACTGACAATATTTATTTTGAAATCTCATGAGTTCTCTGAAAATTATTCAAACACTAAAATGCTAAAAAGCAAAGTAAAAGTTTAATTGAATTCACCATGACCAGCAATTGAGTGCAATACTCATTTCCCTAGCTGCTCCAGTCATACACTCTGGCACCAGAATAATTAGTACATATAAGCTCATCTGAAGCATAGCATGTTAAAGAGATATTTTATTAAAACCTAAAGCTAACAAAAGGGTTTTGAGTAATATGTATTGCTTACTCCTGCTTGGCCTGGTATGTAATAAAGCTGCATTGCATCCTTTTCATTTTGTTAGTATGAAGATAATTTCAGATCAAACCAAGGTTTACTTTATGTAATGCTACAATACCATTCCAACAATAAACAGGAAGAAATAAAAGTGATATAAAATATACTACTTTTTTGTCAGATTCTTTCTGGTAGCTATCTAAAAGCTCTCCTGATATTTTCTCTTATCGTAGATTTCATATGCAACTAAATTTTTGTTGTCAGAACTTTTCTTGTCCCAACAAGGGAATAAGAGCAGTAAGTCTTTTGTTTTGTTTGTTTTGTTTTCCTTTTCCACACAGCTTGAATCTCATCCCCTTCAACTGTACCTAGCCCTTACTTTTCTTTCATTTCAGTCATAAATAACTACAAGTTTAACAATACCCTTAATTCCAATCTCTTATTTCAGTTGTGGCCATACATTCTGTTCCTAAAGTTTTTACATACATTTTTATGGGGGCCTGTTACAGGATGGAAATACTTCTTTTTAAAGGATCACTTTGGAAAATATTAGGTAAAAAAGGATATTCTTGTAAAAAGCTCGACCAGCTCGGTCCTGGTTTATTAAAAGAGAAAGTTGAACCGATGAACAAATAATCCTAAAAATTGTTCTGTACTCAATATTTATAATTTGACAATTTTCAGCTTTTAAATGTATGCATATATATATACAAAATTTTATTTCTAACAAGTTCACATGAAAAGAAGCTAATGCGAAAAACTAACTCTGACAAGATAACTTTAGTGTTTCTACAATAATAGTAATGTTGTTTTCAGCCTTTGCTATTTTGGGGCCACTATAGAACAAAGATTAAACCCACTTTGCTGTACACTAGCAACTTAATGCTGAATATTTGTTTGTTTGTTTTGTTTTCCGTACCGGGGACTGAACTCTGGACCTTGCACTTGAGAGGCAGGCAGTAGAAATCCCCAAGCCCTATGCTGAATATTTGAATGTTAATTATTATTAACATTTATAGGAACTAGCATTTTTGGCCTTTATATTTTTCTTCCCTTTGATCTCAGTACAGGTGGTTTTCTCAACAAGGAAATTCCTGAGAGCTAATCCTAGGTCTTTTATTTATTTATTTATTTAGGTACCGGGGATCAAACTCAGCCCTTTTGCTTGCGAGGCAGGCAGCGGAACTACTGAGTCAAATCCCCAGCCTTTTTTCTTTCATGTTTTCCTTGAAATTATACTAAGTGTTAAATAAAACAACAAAATTGTAGCATTTGGAATTTGGGGATTATCTTATATTTGAAATTTTCTTTAAACATAGTTTTATTATGCACTTTAGAAATGTTTCATATCCTACTTAAGTTTTTAAATTTTGGAAAAATAATTCACACTATTTCCAACTGGTATAATAATGTAACATAGAATAACATCCCAGTGGTTGCTTTGTGAGATCATCATAATAGAAATTATATCTTGGAAACAGTATTTGGGATTGGACAGAGCATTTAGAAGGCTTAAAACATGCAAATTTTATGTAAAGAGAGTCAGAGAATGAAAAAAAGATGTAAAATTGTTTACTTTGTATAGGCTTGCAATGTTACCTTTCATTTATTTCCAAGTTTATTAACATAACAAACCCTTAGAAACAAATTTATTTCATTTTCACAGGTGTTTGAGTTTCATCTTTTGTAGTTTCCATATAACAATTATTTACCCCTTGCTTTATTCAATCTTATATCCCCTATTTCAGTATCCCTTATACTGATATTCCATAAAAAATTCACCTAGTCTGCACAAGAATCAAAGAATCATTGTCCATAAATGAAGCACATATGACAATTCAAGCTGACATTTGTGTCTGTCACTTATCCTGACTCACTGTATACTATTTTCCGAACACAAATAATTGTCCATCACTCCAACATGCGATTATCTCCATACCACTCTACTTGGTATTTAAAAAAAAACTATTTTTGTGTCCAATATGCACTGAATCCACAAGAACCATAAAGAAACTATTGTATGCAAGTTAAGGTTTGAGTCTCATCAGAGGCAAAAGAATACCTCACTCAGTTCAGATCTTCCAATTAATGCCAACAACAAAAAAAGAGCTCTTTAATTCTCTGATTAGATTACAAAAATCATTGTAACTTGTAAACAAATATCCACGAGCAGTAGTAAATGAGAAACAGTTAAGGGATGGAATTTGACGGACCGTGCAGTGCCCATATCATTGCAGTCCATCAAGAAACAGCCTGTAAAGTAAGGCAAAGAAGCAGAAAGGAAGAAGAAAACTGAGGCTCAAGATTTCCTTACTCAATTACCCTTTAATAGCTATAGTTGTGGTACCTGAGAATGGTTGCTCCAAACCAAGTTTTGGTAGGAGGAGGCAGTTTTGAGAGGGGAGATCACTTCCCGTGAGCCAATGGGGTCCAAGGCTTGAACTACCTTGTTCATGGGCCCACTGTAGGTCCTCACTCGTTCATAGACTACATTTTTTTCTAGAGGCTGTTGGACCTGACTTGACTGATGGTGGCAATGGTAATGCTGGGGCTGGTACTGTAGCACTTCGGGGGACTGTTGGGTCCCACAGCTGCTGCTGGTTTCATTCCAATAGCTTGAGCTCATCATCTTGGCAGTCTTTCTCTAAGGATTAAAAACAAAGAGAATGAAAAAAACGCAGGCACACGTATAAGTCATTTATCAAACACCTCTTTGTATAGTGGTGCTTGGGAGAGATTGAATTACCTGAGCAGTAGCTGGAGCAGGTCTGGCGGCTGCAGAGGAGGCAGCAAAGTATTTGAGCTGAAATGAAAAATGGATCCACCCTGTGAGACTGCTCCAGGAAATAGTACTGCCACGCCCCTGAGGGGTGGATTCACCTGGCAGGTTTGTGTGCCAAGAGAGGCCTGGCTTTGCCAGAAAATAGGTATAAGGTTACTCAGTAGGTAAAGGAGTCTGGAAAAAGCAGAAATGAAGACTTCAAGGCTGAAGCTAGATCTTCTAAGCTCATGAAATCAGAAATTTGAAGGCAAAGACATGTTAATGCCCAAATTTGCTATAGAACAAACTCACAGGAAAGTGGCTTCCCCAAGGTTCCTACATTTAGGAAAGATGGTTTTAAGTCTAAGTACTTTTCTTTCAGAATCTCAGACCAAATTAAGGTATATCTTCATAGGGACATACCAATTTTCTGAGATAAATGTTGTATTCTTTACAAAACCAAGTTGCAAATAAACGAGATTTCTGTGAAGGTTCTTAGCAGCTCTGCCTTTCTAACATACCTTGAAAGAGATTTGTCCAAATGATTGGATTGTTGTCTAGAAACGGAGGTTGGGATGTAGTGGGAATGGCCTAGGAAAACCTAATCATTCCACAAATATTTTGCGTTTTGGCATTTATATATATTGTTTGGAGCTTTTACAAGGGAATTTATCTTGACTTTACTTGTACCCTAGTGCTTGCTTTGGCAGCACATATACTAAAATATTTGTACCCTAGGAAACACTGAATTTGATAACTTCATTACTATATAGTTATTAAGGGAGCTCTAAGTTTTAAGAGGTGACTTACCTGACATCATAAGATTTTGATGTGTTCAACATCTATTCAATACTACTTGAAATTTCAATCATAATGCCTATTTACCCACCAGATTTTGCCTTGCAAAGGGACTTTAGCACCACCAAACTCCAGAATACTAACATAAAGGTGTCTTCAGAAAAGGAGTATCTTTCTGATGTGTATATGTATCATAGGACCAAACATACTGCCACTATTCTGGAGAGGAAGAGAATGTCATTAAGTAGTCATCTTTTTTTTCCTGATGAATGAACATAGAATAATTATTATTTACTGATCACGTACTATATTCAATGTACTGTTTATGGAGATTTATATGATTTATCTCATCTTCTCAACAACTGTGTAAAGGTATGTGAGATACTGAGTAAGAGATATGGAAAAGGAAAAAATTCTCAAATTTAAATAATTAGTAAATGCTGGATTTCAAATTTGAACATAGTTGGATTCACTTTAGAGTCTAAGCTCTTACATATTATTTTATATTATTAGCAATTGATCTGCATCTGGCCAATTAAATCTTCTAGGAAGAAAATTAAAAAGAAACAATTCAGAAATGTCACCTCTTAAGCAACTTTAAAAGCAATCTTTCAATTACTAAGGCAGAAAGGTATGTAAAATCTCAAAATCAACTTTAAAAAATTTAAAATAATTTACTATGTATTTACATTTATATTTATGGGCTGTGTTCAGAGATTTAAATCTAATCTTTGTTCATTATGATGTCATTTCACAGGAATCAATGAATATTTAATTAGAAACATGTGACCTGTGAAACAACCCAGTAAAATATCAGCTCTTTAACTCACTAATATCATTAACATTGTCATTTTAAATAAGCTTTATATGTGAACAGGGAATAGATTTTAAATGGGATCATCTACTAAGCTATGGTTGTTAAAATCTAAATTTAAGAGACACATGCACACACACATAGTGCTGTTAGTATCTGCTGCCAGCAAAGATGTAATCTAGTAAATAAAATATAAGAATGAGAAGAAGAATAAAAATTATTTCATCCATAAAATGGTTACCATATCTGATCTCCTTATTTCTTGGATATATGCTATTTTGAGGCAGCCACTTTAGTGCAATTGGGCTATAATTGATGTGTGTAATTGATACACTCACCCAATCCCTCAGCCTCTTTCATCACTGCTGCTCATCCCTGAGTATGAAAGAGAGAGGTTAAGGTTCATGGATAAAGAAATGATTAGGCACTATCTAGCAGACAAGCCACATCTAACTGCAAAGCAGATGTTGACCTCCCTTGTTCATCTAGGAGTTTATCAGTCATTCTTAAGAAGATTTCTGCTCCTCTGAAAATACACTTGTGCTTTCATCAGCTGTATCTTCAAGTGTTGCAGCTATCCTTTGTAAAAATGATGCTAGTACTATTTTTATTAATAAATAAATATACATGAATTTATCTGTTTAATAATAGTACATATACTATTTTACATTTGATAATGCAAGGAACTGATATTTTGTATTTTTCAAGCATACAATTTCTGCTCCTCTGAAAATACACTTGTGCTTTCATCAGCTGTATCTTCAAGTGTTGCAGCTATCCTTTGTAAAAATGATGCTAGTACTATTTTTATTAATAAATAAATATACATGAATTTATCTGTTTAATAATAGTACATATACTATTTTACATTTGATAATGCAAGGAACTGATATTTTGTATTTTTCAAGCATACACACACACACACACACACACATATATATATATATATATATATATATATGTGGTTTACAGATATTAGGCTATACTAACATTGGTACATAAAGTAGTACAAGTTAATTTTGTATGAGCTCTAGGCTAGTTCAAAGAATCCTTCATTATATTTCTAACAGTATTTTTGTGTCATTGAGAAATATAGATATTTTGTTTAGTATTAAAACCACTAATTTATGATGATGGCTTTGGAGGATAGAGAGGATATCTTCTTAGAAGCTAGTTCAGTTCTAACAGAGTTAAAACAATATGGTTTCCAATTTTTTAAAAACTTTTTTTTCAGTACTGAGAATTTATTCCAGAGCCTTCCCACTGAGCTACTTG